GTGTGTGAGTGAGTAAGTGAGAGAGTGTGTGTGTGAGTGAGAGAGTGAGTGTGTGTGAAAGTGTGTGTGTGTGTGAGTGAGTGAGTGAGTGAGTGAGTGAGTGAGTGAGTGAGTGAGTGAGTGAGTGAGTGAGTGAGTGAGTGAGTGAGTGTGTGTGAAGGTATATATATATATATATATATACACCTTGCTACGTGTACTGCGTTAGGCTAACCGAGACTTGTCATTTGCACTTATATTTTGTTGCTCTTTTGTTAGTTTTGACTGCTTTTATTGTCCTCATTTGTAAGTCGCTTTGGATAAAAGCGTCTGCTAAATGACTAAATGTAAATGTAAATTACCTTTCAACTTCACCGTCTGATCTGCTCCGAGGGTTTCGAGAATTTTGGTCCATGGCCCTCTGGTGACCAGTTTCCCTTTAGACGTGACCAAAACCACCGACCTGCAAGTGCAAAAAAATTAGTTTCAGTCAGACACAGCGGTTAAAAATGGAGGAGGAACACATTAAAAGTATTCGAAGAAAAGTTCTTTGAACAATTAAACCCTCTGAAGTGGGGGCATGTGGCTGCTGCACCCCTGAAATTAGGCTTCACTTTGTTTTACTTTACCTACTTAAAACTCGTAAAAACATAGTTTAAATCGTAGTTTAGTCGACCATTTTTCAATGACCGTCCAAGCTCAATTTCAAGACCACTGATGCATATGTAAACATACAATTAGTTTCTCCCTATATGACTGTGTGATTATCTCCCGTTCGGTGCTTTTATGTGAGAATCCAAACACTCCAGCAGTGTCAGAACGACGCTACCCAACTTAACCGTGCAGAACGGATAAAATATCTGCACAGCCCACTTCACAGCACAGACCAATTTGGAAAGCGCAGTGTGTCGCACAAAGCCTGTGTGATCCACTCGAATTCAACACATAATTGTCTACATCGACGCGCTACAAGAAGTGAAACATCTCAGATGGCTTCACGCTTAGCTGATAATGAGATGCTGTAAATCTAAAAGAAAAAAAAAGCTTCTTTAAAAACTGAAACAAAAAGATAATTTTTGACCTAAAATGCTTGTTTAGGTTTAATTTACACAAGCAACTAGTTATTTTAAAGAAGTTAAACATTTCATTGCATGTGCATTTGATTTTGTATAGACGTAATCTGATGATTCATGCATTATACATGAAAATATATGCAGCATATATTTTTTCTATCAATCTTACAGCTCAAACAGAAAAGTAAGAGAAGTCTCTTATGCTCACCAAGGTTGCATTTTTAACACAAAAATACAGAAAAAACTATGTTATTACAATTTAAAATAACTGTATTCTATTTGAATATATTTTAAAATGTAATTTATTCCTGTGATCAAAGCTGAATTTTCAGCATCATTCCTCCAGTCTTCAGTGTCACATGATCCTTCAGAAATCATTCTAATATGCTGATTTGCTGCTCAAGAAACATTTATTATGAACAATTTGCTTTTGATGAATTTAATGCATCCCTGCTGAATAAAAACCCTAGTAATTAGAATAGCATTTTAAAAAAGTATAACATTTCATTGCATGCGCATTTGATTTTGTATGGACGTAAACTATTCATGCATATATTTTGTATTAGCTATTCTTACTGGTCTTTGAGGTTTGTGATGTAGTTCTCTAGCTGAGCTGGAATTCCCATCAGGATTGAGTTCCTGAAGCCTTTAGACTCCAGGATTTTACCGCTGTGGCCTTCGATCACAGTCAAATGAATGCCGTCCTCTGATTGGTAGATCTTCTTGCCATTCACCTACAGAAACAATAACTTTATTTTCATTTGTCTTATCTTTTTCTTTCAACATCTTGCTTGGTCTGTCTCTATCCCTATGGTTCTCTTTCCACAAATCCCCCCCCCCCAAAAAAAATTATCAATGACATCATTACTATTAATTTAACAAATGAATAATAAATTAATTAATTAAATAAAATTATAATATAATATAATATAATATAATAATATAAAGGCCAGAGTGAGAGACCAGCTAAACCTAGATTAAACCAGCTAAACATCAGCAAACCACTGTAGGCTTAGGCAGGCTAACCAGCTATTGAGAACTGATGTTGTAGGTTTTAATGAAACATTATTAAGAGTTTGTACCTCAGTATAGGCGAAGTCCTCTTTGATGTGGAAAAAGCGTGTGTTATAGGACTCTAGTTTGACTTCAAGGAAGTGCTCCGGTGTCTGAGGCTGTAAAGGAAACAGGAGATTACAATAATATAACATTTAATCATATCTTCTTACTAGATGTTTGCACTTACAACAACTTGCATATACCATAATACCAGAACTTGAAGTTACATTGTGGTTAAACTAATGGCACTTGTGAGAAAACTGACTGCCCCAATAAGTGAAATAACATCATATGAACATGTCGAAACGGATGCAGTTAATGATATATATTAGTGATAGACTAATATGCTTCCTCCACTTGGCTGAATAAGTGTTAGCTTTCCTTTCATTTTCAACTCTAGATAACACACATTTTTTTAAATTAATTATTTAATTATAATTTGTCGTGTAATTTCCTTGTCATTTGCTATAGCAAATTAAATTTTATTTTTTTCCAATGTAAAATAGCTATCATTGCTACAGTATATCTACCTATATACATATATAAAAATATATTAAATAAATATATATAATTAACATTGATATATTTTATATATAATTTATAAAAAATATAAAAATGTCAAAATGTAATCAAATGTATGTATAATATCTTTGTATAATTCATATATATTAATATTTATGTGGGTATAGACATTTAAAAACCATTTCAGTCAACCACAATGGAGGAACCTGTTGAGCAAACGTTTACAGAAAAAGGTGTGCAAAATACAAGAACTATCCTGTTGAACAAACGCTAACGCTGCATATTCTCATTTATCCATAGCACAATTCGATTGCCAGGAGACAACCAAACACCTGCAAAGCTGACAGAAGCATTGCTGTTTGTTTCTTTAGACATCATCTTCAGAGCATCAGGCAAGTTGCAGGAATCCAGCAGGAACGTCCCACATCCGGCCCGCAGCATCACGCTAGACTTCAAACACAGATGCTCTGTAAAGTCAAAAGTGTCTCCTCACCAGTTTGGAGCGAGGCAGTTTTTTGGGCATAGGCACATCGACGACGGGCATCTCGGTGTGTCTGGGGTAGGCTTCAGCCATGCAGTCACTGGGGCCGCTGCCGGGGGGAATCAGCGCTTTAATCTTCACTCTTTCACAGCCCTTCACCGAGCAGAACGCAAAGTCTTCCTTCTCATTGTGCGCTTTGATTTTAAGGAAGAGCAGCCTGCGGGGAAGACGGCAGACAGACATCAGAGAGAGAGAAACACAGAGATCAGCACATGAACGGGAGCGACAGCGGGGGTTTGGAAGCTGTGACACTTTTAAAACCACATCAAAACTTATAACTGACAAAACTGCAGCGTTTAGCATCCAGCCTCCTGGGTAATTTCACAGCAGTTCCAATCGAGTGATATTACTCATTTGCTACAATTTAATTATGTTTCATTAGCAAAGGAAGACTGACATAGCTAAATTAAGAACAGTTATTTTTTCATCCTCTACGAAAACACAGATGTCTTATAATAACTTCTACTTTGCTCAGTATGACTTTCCATTAGGCCAGTCAATAGAACGTTTAATTGATTATATTTAACGCCCATTTTCTTTAATGCTGTAAACATATTTATTTAATTTGACTTTATAATGGATTCATTCTGTTCTGTGTGTTTTTTTTTAACTGATCAGAACTGTATTAGCTATCACACATGCAGCCGTTTATCAGTAAAAGATGGAGAAAAACCTTCTTTATGGGTCATTAGCTTAAAAAATTAAGCCAGATGGGACATTTGGCAACAGTAAAATCATATGCACTCTTTTTTATGGTCAAATATAATTATCACCTGTTCAACAACAACAACAACAAAATAAAATAAAATAAAAAAATCACCCATGGGCAAAACATTCAAAGTGATGAAAGTATCTGTCAAAACACATAAATGTAAATGTAATATTATGTCCATAAAGTGTGGGGTAAAGTTGTTTTTATTATTGTATACTGATTGTATTTGATATGAGTTACACACACAATTTAAAATAACTACTTTCTATTTTAATATATTTTACAATGTTATTTATTCCTGTGATTGTAAAATATTTTTTTGTGGAATCCGTGACTCAACATTTCAATCAATAAGTTAATTTTTTTTTTTTTTTGTCTTTTATTCAGCAAGGACTCATTAATAAAGCAACAACAATGCCGTCATGAGTAAAGCATGCTAACTGGAGACTGAGAGAGTTGAGGTAGTGTGTTAGTATTAGCATCAGTCACTAGGGGGCGCAATAGTCCTGGTTCAGAGGATCTGGATTAGTTGGAAAGCAAGATGTGTATTTTATTAAATATAATTGATAATCATTGTTACAAATTTAGCTATTTTGACATAAGTGTGCACATCTTTTATGTGTAATGCTTTATTCTGGCACCTGTTCATGAAATATTGGATTATCCTTAATTTAAAAAGTAAAATATTAATATAAATATAAAAAATAAAAACAACAACAGCATGCAGCTCTTGACTGTTTCTTAATTAAGTAAAAATTGCTTCATGTCTTTAAAAGTAATTATTCAAGACAAATAAACAGTCGGTAATTAAACAAAGAACAAAGAAACAAATTAATTTAAATTACTAAGAGACGAATGAAGTAAACAGTGCTTAAAATATTCAAGTAAACATTCCGAAATGAAACTAATAATGAAGCAATCACATTCACAATGATATATATTAATTACAGTCATAATATAATACATTAATAGTGATTATGTTGGAGTTTTATTGACAAGAGAATTTTTAATTAAATTCACCTGTACAGTTTTTTTTTGCCTAAATTAGTGTTCACATTTGATCTTCGTGAGCTCATTACATCTACTTAAATCATCCAGCCAAGAGCAGTGAGTAATTTCCATGATTTACTGTTAATATTGTGGTTTTATTATAATTAATGACATAGCGACAGGTCTATTAGGCTGCATTTACACCCAAAGGCCTCATACACATATTCAGATGGCACAGAAATATTGGCTGGCGTCTTAAGCACTCCTCCAATCTTCCATTGCTTGGACAAACAGATTGCCCCGCCCCCAAATTCCTTATAGCTGTCTATGCATAGAGGGCTGTTATAGAAGAAACAGGCATGTGATCAGCTAAGGACAAAATAGAAGGAATTCAATATGACTATACAATACTGCTACTACTTCTACTTATTATTATTATTATTAAAAATAATTTTTTATTTTATTATTTAAATTACGCAATTTGAACAAATCAATACATAAATATATTACTATTGCAATAATACTACAGTATTGTAAAATAAATGGAAAAATTAAATAGACTGCATTTATTTAATAATAATAATAATATATTATTATTATTAATATTCCAAATAATATTTTTATTTTATTATTTAAATTGTACAAATTAAACACATTAATAAAGAAATATACTACTATTGCAACAGTACTGAAAAATAAAAATAAGTATTTAATAACAATTATTATTTATAATAGTAATCATTTACAATAGTCTACATTTCTTTGCTTTTCAAACGTTAGCTTTTTTATTTTGGTGGAAAACTGCTGAGAGACCCTAAAGCTGCTCTCTTGTTGATGACAGATATTAATTATTGAAGATGATAAATTCACCCTGAATTTCGTCAACAAAAAAAGCTTGAACCTGAGCGAAGTGGAAACTATCAAGACTATAGAGTGCTGCAGAAATGACGTATTTTTGTAGGCCAAAACCCGGAAACGAGATGCATTTTATCCCTTCCAGTTCCATCGTCCTGACGTTTTTTGGTTAAATGCCTGAAATAATGTCTGTGGTGAATAATGTTTTCAGGAAAGTAGTTTTTTTTTTTTAAATAAAGACTGAACGAGTTGTCAGAAGCTTAGTGATGGTGATGATAAAGTCATGTGACCGTGGTGTAATTTGTTCATAGTCTACGTTTAACTCTTGTGGTGATTGTATTTACGCTGGACGTTATACTAATTTGTGAAGATTATCACGATCAGTGTTGGGGGTAATATATTACAAGTAACGCGAGTTACGTAATCAGATTACTTTTTTCAAGTAACTAGTAAAGTAACGCATTACTTTTTAATTTACAAGAGAATATCTGAGTTACTTTTTCAAATAATGTTAAACAACACAAATATCCTTTATGTATTTATTCCCATTCTTTTAACCAATGTCTTTGCTTCTGACCTTCGATGATCCAGTTCAACCGTACTAATAAGCAAAAATTACTCTAGACGAACATTTGTGTGTCTTTTTTTACTGCTGAAGTGTGTTGAAATTTCTTCTTCTGCATTCTACTGTACGGACGTAAATTTACTTTCGCTTCAGCCTGAGGCTTATTCATTTCACTTTTGGTGTGAAAAGGCTTTTATATTTGCCAAAAATAGAACTTTTTTATTTTAAAAACAAACAAGCAAGCCCTGTCCAGATTTAAAAAGTAACGCAAAAGTAACGTAACGCATTACTTTCCATAAAAGTAACTAAGTAACGTAATTAGTTACTTTTTTATGGAGTAATGCAATATTGTAATGCATTACTTTTAAAAGTAACTTTCCCCAACACTGATCACGATGGACCAAAATATTTAAGAATCTCATGCTTTTGTTGGTCACAGACATTATATTCTGCAGTAATCCAAAATCCAATGGAAAAATCCTATTGGGTTTTTGTCGAGGGAACCAGGGTGATGTGAGCTTCTCGGTTGGCCTACAAAAAATACGTAATCACTGCAGTGCTCAGTTAATGGAATCCATCCCTCGCTGACCTGTTGAAGTTGATGAGCCAGATTGTGACCTCGGCAGGAGCTGCTTGGTCCCAGTGCATGGTGTATCCTTTACTCAGCATGACCACAGGCTGGAATTGCTGGTAGTGGTTCCTCTTTCCCAGAGCACCAACCAGCTCCAGCGGCTTGTCTGGATACTCATCCTTCACCATCTTCATGTTAAGGTTGGCTGGGTTTCGGGTCTGGATGTAAATCTGGAGGTGGGGCAGAATATTTTGCATGGTGTTTAAGTGCACGTGAAAAAACCCTTTTGAGTGTTTGACAGCTTTGATAGATTGATTGCCTTTCTCTCGGGAAACGAATTTCAAAGAAGACTAACCAGGTGTCTGGCTTTGTCAGAGAAAGTAAACACAAGTTCTTGGAATGTACTGAACAAGGTACAGCTGTTTGCGTGTAGACCATAGACTGTATAAAAACATGGA